ACAATTGGGGATCCATCTTTGTGCATGGTGGAGCAATAAAATTATATGTGCATATGTCAAATTTTTAGATAAAAATTATTTGGTTCCTGACCCTGAACCAATTGTGTTGGGAGAACCTTGTTCGCTTGATGCATACATGTTAAATAAACTCATCTCAAATCAAATTTTATTTGAGTGATTTGTTCTCATAATCAATGGTCTAGCAATAAATTGGAGGTGTACAATTTCTACTAAAACAACAAGCATAATCAACATGATTTTATAGTTTGAAAATTGTGCTCTTTATAATTTAATAATTCGAGCAAACAACCTTACAAAAACTAATTTGTAAGTTGATACAAATGCAGATGTGACCATACCATAGATGCATCTATTAAATCACAATAGTAGACGGTACACATGGCAGGTGAAAGGGCTCATATTCACCTTTTTATATGTTCCAAATAATTTTAGGGGATATAATCCCACCCTTAGTTGGTACAATGATTATTTTATCACGAGAACAAGTTACAAAAGAGAATTCTTGAAGAATCTTTTATTTTTGGTCATAAACCGATGGGACTTGAACCCAACTTCTTATTATCTTGGTGCACCGAGACTTTACTCGATATCTTACCCACTTGATGCGGTGAAACCTGAATTCACCGTCTTACCCTCAACCAATGTCTTATAAACCAAATAAATTATCAAAAATAAATAAATATTATGTTCCAAATAATTTTAGGGGATACAATCCCACTCTTAGCTTGTACGATGATTATTTTATCACGAGAACAAGCTACAAAAGAGAATTCTTGAAAAATCTTTTATTTTGTCAACTTAAAGCCACGTGAATTCTCAATTAATTTTGCATCACATTTGAATTAGAATGATCAACGATTATGCCAACTGATATTTATTCTAGTAAACTTCTAGTTCACTTTTGCATATGATTCCATCATCATGCCCATGTATGTATACAACAAACAAGAAAAATACTGGTAACCTTTTATCTAAATATTCATAACCCGCTTTGATTGTAGTAATATGAAGATATTTAATCTTTCATTAATTTACAGTCTCAATATAATAATTTTCATTCCGGGTAGTAACAAATTCATTCTTTAGAAACTCTCAATTAATTTTGTGTACTACAATAAATTTCACAACACCATTTTTATGGTGACCATCTCCTTCAAGGAGAGTCATTATTATTGTCATGGTTATAACAAATGCAAGACTTATTTCTTGACAACCAATGACAAACTTGTTTGGTCATAGCCACAATCTTTATAGGAAAGAACTATTTTTTTCTTTTTGTCCTTCAATAGTTCACAATTTAACATATCACAATATTTGTGTAGTACTTAAAGTAAATGACTAAATGACCATTTATGTTAAAATAATTCTTTTCAATATCTCAAACCTCCCGTAAAAGTGAAATGTGACATTTATCCAACAATTCATGGACATGTTCTTATCCATAAGAACACAATTCACATTTTCTTTAAGATTTGGACCATAGTCATTTAAACATGCTTCATAAATTTTTATTAGAAACTCATTGTCATATTTTCAGATTTATCAAATTTATGTAACTCACCTCAACATCATTTTAAGAGATATAAAATACCAAATGTACAATCACTTTGTATTCTATTATTTGATGGAGGATTTACAAAAAGTTTCAAGTTTGGGTTGCACCAACAACAATGTGCCCAATAACTTCTCATACCACTTTGATGGATAAAAATTACCTTCACATTTGAAGGACCATCTTAAGAATTCAGAATGTTCTTTTTTTTTCATTACCACGATGATGTCCATAAACATTTTACCACTCATATTTACACATTCAACCACTTGTCATTTTTCAGACATAACATGCACTACTACCACATTCACATTCACATAAGAGAATAGACAAATTAATTGGGTAAATTTCATGATTTTCATTCAAAAGTATACAACTTTGTGTTGGTCATCATTATAGTGCATCAGGACTTAAGCCCAATGTCTAACCCATATAAAGACGCATTTGGTCATAAACCAATGGGACTTGAATCCAACTTCTTATTATCTTGGTGCAGCGAGACTTTACTAGATGTCTTACCCACTTGATGCGGTGAAACCTGAATTCACCGTCTTACCCTCAACCAATGTCTTATAAATCAATACATTACAAAAAATAAATAAATATTAAGTATCATAATATAATCTGAATTTGACTTAAAATTGAATAAAAATGAACAAAAATACTAATTAGAACAACATGTTGGAACCATATAGAAATCCCAAGTTAAAATAAATTAAAACATTTTAGCAGTCCCTCTCAATATTGTTATGAAGATTATCATAATTTACTTACCACTTTGAACTAACCACAAAACAAACTTTGATAGTACAAATAATATATAGAATATGAAGTATACCTTGCAGGAAGAATTACTAGGATTATTCATAAAAAAATCAAAAAATACCTATCATTGACTCTTGACGGAGAATGAGCAACTCGTGATAACGGGTTGTAAAACTTAAGAACAAAAGAATTATATAAAGAAGAAGACAAGAAGAATATAAGAAAAGAGGAACAATATGAGATAACTTTCTTTCTTTGAAGTATTCACCCAATCTTCAAGTATCTACAATATGAACTCTTATGTCTTTATTTATAGTGAAACATAGAGGCATACAAAATGTGAGTCATAAAAATGTCATTAACGTGAATATAATGGGGAAGTTATAAAAGTGAAAGGTTACAAGAATAATGGTTATAAAGTTGGAGGTTATGTTTATCTTCATAATAAAGGAGGTTATGTAGTAACTTATTGGAGTTGTGGACATCCACATTATATTGTTTTGTAACATAATTAATTATTGCATTAGTAATAGAAAAAATTGTATATGATGACAAATTAATAAATCAAATTAAATGATATAACCACACTTTGATTTAATTGTGCCCTATAGAAATCCGTTTGTCAGTCGCCTCTCTCCCTCAACTCTCGCTCGCCACTATCCCTCTCTCGCTCGCTCCCACAAATGTATAAAATGCGTTTGTGGTTATATAAAACGAGAAAAAATGGTATATATACATATATTTTCGTTCCCCTCTCCCACCCCTCGCTCGCCACCCTCGCCTCTCTCGTTTATACAAACTGAAACAAAATGTATGAATTGCATTTCTATTGGTATGAAGCGAGAAAAATTGTATATACACATGAAAATACATATCTTCACCCTATATACTTATAATATTATATAATACAAATGTCTCTGCCCAATTATCTTATCTTTCTCTCTTTCTCGTTTTATACATACACAAATTATACAATTGATCTTTTGTATACAACTGTTTTCTTTTGTATATGTATTGCAAATTATACATCTGTTTTTTTTTGTTATACGTATAGTAAAACATATATATTTATGTTTGCTATGGAGCGTAATTATGCAAAGTATAGCTATAATATATAAATATGATTTTTATGTTTGCTATATGTGAAAGTTACTCATAATAATATACAAATCTAATGCATGCGCTATTTTTCCTATTAGACTATCAATCAGCCCCTCTAGTTTGAGTATTATGTTACAAAAGCATATTACATTATATAAAGGAGAGATTGTGATTGAGGAAATGGAAGTCATGGTTATTTATCATCAATTAATAAGATACCTGCATTAAAAAAAAAAAATTACAGAGCCAGATGCAAATAAAAAAATTGGATACCTACCTAACAAAAATACAAGATCAGAAGTATCATCAGCTGTTAGTTGAGTGGTATGATATTTTTACTACGACTGATAAAGGAATGTTTACAACATGACCTTTGTTTCCTACAAGTCCTATTCTTCCAAAGCTTGGTGTTGTACTGTTCATGGTAGCATTGAGGAACACATTCAATATCTGCTGCTGTGCACTTGCAACGAAAAATCGCTTTGGGTTAACCTTAACGGAAACCCCATTAGGTGCACTCCAACCGACAATATATGTTTCATTTCCCGCTATGTTGGTCAACATTCTTTGAACTTTTCTTGATTGGTTCAGCTTTGATATTGTGATTGAAGGCATGTTCAGGTCAGCTCCATTCATAGTAGATACTCCACAGCTCTCACCAGTGTAGTTCAGAAGAACAGGAGCTGATCCATTTATGCCACAGAGGAACGCCATGTAATCGTTATAACCTACAAATCACAATATAAGGTCCACATCTAACGGAATGATGTGCCATAATGAATGTATTCTAGCGACCCCAAATCATTAGTCATTGTTTTCTGAACATTTTTAGTGATTAAATACGTTGAACTATTCTCAATTCTCATTTCAGTCAAATCACTCACGTAGTCCTAAAATAAATCAAAAGGTTTATGCTTAGAGAACATCAAATTTGAACTAATGTGGGGTGAGAATCACAGTATTATGAGGAACTATAAATAAAATAAGCAAATTATAGTATGAACTAGAGATGAAAAATTCTCCAAAGAAGGTTGGCCTAACCTAGCTCTCAACGTCACTCCTTCCCAATGTCTGGCCTAGTCTTTGTACCAAGAAACTTTAAACCATGGTAAACGCGTCTACGATTCTTAACACCCTATACTTGTATAAAGATCAAAACATTTAATAGACACAGAATAGAAAAAGATATGCTTCCTAGCCTACCGGAAACTTGTTTGAAGCTAATTAGGTAGGTGATCCGGTCAATCGAGTGTTGACACCAGATTAGGTTTGATCTTCCTTCTCAATGTCAGAACATGCATTCTTTTCTCTGCAGTATGGTATGGTAGACTTAACAACCAATCAACCAGAAAACATTCTTATAATTACAGTAATGTTATTGATGTGTTTGGGGTATGGAGGAAAACATGTTTTCTTATTTTCTCATGCTAGGTTGGACAAAATTTTGGAAAAATATTTTCTAGGAAAATGTTAGTTTTTAGATAAGGAAAAATATAACAATCTTATCTTCTTTTGTTATTGAACAAGTAGGAGCATTAGTTTGATAAACGAATAAGAAAAATTTATGAAAGCAAAACTACTTACTTCATTATAACACAGATATTTATAAGAGTTTACAAGTAAACCAACTCCTAAGGATAAAATTAAAAACTAAGGATAATGATAAGGATAAGATAGAATTTAATCACTAAACAGTAAATAACTACCCTACAATACACTCAACTTGCTTTAAGAGCTGCAAACTCCAAGTTTTTGCCTGAGAAGTTGAAATTTATTGCCTGATAATGGTCTGGTGAAGATATCAGCCAGTTGCTCTTCAATTTTGCAATAGAGTAGAATCACGTCACCATTATTTTGCACTTCCCTCAAGAAGAAAAGCTTGATGTTGAAGTGTTTTGTTTTTCCCATGAAATACAGGATTATGAGAAATTGCTATTGCAGATTAATTGTCCACAAATGCTTCAGTTCCCTTTGTCTGATTCATGTGCAGATCACCAAAAATTTTCCTCAACCACGATGCTGATTTACTGTTGTTGTTGCAGCCACGAATTCCGCCACTGCAGTGGATTGAGCCACAATGTCCTGCTTCTTTGAGCACCACAAAAACATTCCTGAGCCAAGACTGAAACAATATCCAGATGTGCTCTTCATGTCATCTGCAGATCCAGCCCAATCACAATCAGAATATCCAAGTAGTTTCAGATCTATTTTTTCTAAAACTTGACACCATAATTGATGGTTCCTTTGATGTATCTAACAACTCGTTTTGCTGCTTTTAGATGCACCTCACTAGCACAATGTTTGAACCTCGATAGAATGCTTACGACATACAAAATATAAGGTCTTGTAGCTGTGAGATACATCAAACAACCGACTAAGCCTCTGAAGTACGTTTCCTCCACTTTCTCTGCTCCGTCATTCTTGCTTAGTTTCTCTTTTTGGTTCATAGGAGTATTCATCTCCTTGTAATCTTCCATGTTGAATTTCTTGAGAATTTCCTTAGCATATTTCTTCTGGCAAATGAATACTTCATCTTGTCCCTGCTTGATTTCCATACCAAGAAAATAAGACATTAGACCAAGATCAGTCAAATCAAAGGCTTGCATCATTTCTTGCGTGAAATACTCGATATGCCTTGTATTGCATCCTATAATTAGTACATCATCCACATATATAGACACAACAAGAATATCAATGTCATGATGTTTAACATAAAGAGTAGATTTTGATAGACTCTTTTCAAAGCCTAAGCCAAGTAAATGCCCATCTATTCGACTATACCAGGCCCTTAGTGCCTGTTTAAGTCCATAAAGTGCCTTTCTTAACCTATAAACTTTGTCCTCATGTCCTTTCTTCACAAAGCCATTAAGGAATGCTGATTTGACATCCATCCGACACACTTTCCAACCCAACTGTGCAGCAAGAGTAAGAAGTAACCTGATCGTGTCAAGCCTAGCTACTGGTGCAAATGTACCAAAATAATCTACACCAAAAATTTGAGCATACCCCTTAACTACATGTCTTGCTTTATGCTTATTCACTAAACCATCGACATTTAGCTTGGTTCTAAAGACCCATTTCAACCCAATTATCTTTCTGTGTTCAGGTTGATCAACAAGCTCCCAAGTCATGTTTTTCTCAATCATAAACAACTCTTCTTTCATTGTAGCAACCCATTTTTCATCATTTTTGGCTTCATTGTACCCAACAGGTTCACATACTGCTACATTGCATCTCTGATATATATGACTGAGTTGTCGAGTACCTTTGACTGGTAAATGATCCACCATTTCATCCTGTCGTGAGAGTGATAATTTCTTCTCAAAAAACTGGGTATGAGACTTTTTTGCTTTGTCAAAAGTGTTAACGACAAATTTCTTCGAGTCTTCCCTACACCACTCTTCATTTTCTATAAAATTCACATCTCTACTAAAGATTATATTTTCAGTTTGTGCTTGGAAGACTTTATATGCCTTTGAAACTAAACTATATCCAATAAAAATGTCTGGGACAGATTTTTTGTCTAGTTTATCTCGTTTAACCTTAGGAATGTAGGAAAAACAGAGACAACCAAACACTTAAAGAAAATTTAACGATGGTTTAAATCCATACCAAGCTTCAATGTAGTTAGGTCTTTCACTACCTTTGTGGGAAGCCTATTTTGAAGAAAAACTGATGTATTTGTTGTTGCCTCTACCCAAAATTTCTTTGGCAAGTTCTTCTCGTTCAACATGCATCTGGTCATCTCCATAATGTATCTGTTTCTTCTCTCGCTTACTCCATTTTGTTGTGGAGTATAGGGAGTAGTAAGCTGATGATGAATCCCTGCTTCCTCACATAACATGTCAAACTGGTAAGAAGTGTATTCCTTTCCATTATCTGTTCTTACGAACTGAATTTTCCAGTTGGCTTCATTTTCTACTTTTGTTTTGAACTTCCGAAAAAACATTAGAAGCCTCTAACTTATGCTTGAGAAAGTAAATCCAGCACATGCGGGTTAAATCATCAACAAAAATGATATATTATACACTACCTTTTAATGAAGGAGTCCTTTGAGGTCCTGCTATATCAGTATGAATTAGTTGCAATTTTTTCGAGGCTCTCCAAGTTGTCTTTAGAAATGGAAGTCTGTTTTGTTTTCCATATTGACACACAAGACAATTTGAAGAATGTACTTCTAAAATAGGCAAGTCCTTAACTATTTTCATTTTTTGTATTTTAACCAACCCTTCACAGTGATAGTGTCCAAGTCTCTTGTGCCATTGTGTCATACTTCTGCAACACTTTCTTTTGCTCAAAAAACAACATGCTCCTCCTCAAATGGATCTAATGAGAAACTTTTGCCTCTCATTCTTACTTTAAACATAGACTTGATATTAAATATCCTTGATCAAGCAATGATTATCTTCAAAATTTAACTTGAAGCCTTTTTCCATTCATTGACCAACACTAAGCAAGTTTTGATCTATATCAGGTACATAAAGCACATCAGAAATTGTTTTAGTACCTGAATTACTAAGAATAGCAATGGTTCCATTCCCTCTTACGGGAAGATGGTCGCCATTACCTATTCTGACTTTAATAATGGTTGTGGGCTTCAATTCCTTTCAAGAGAGACATGTCATTTGTCATATGATTAGTGCATCCACTATCAATCAACCAACACTCACTAGATGATCTACTTGAAAAACTTGTAGCAACAAAGAGTTGATCTTCCTCCTCACCCTCAACAATTTGAGCATCTGCTTCTTTTTGCTGACCATTGTTCTTGCAAATGACAGCTCCATGCCAAGTTTGATTTCATTTATTACATTTAGCATCAGGTCTTCTCCAACATTTATATGGTGGATGACTTTTCTTGTTGCAATGCTTACAAGGAGGATAACTTTTCTTTGAGTGTCCAGCTTTTCCTTTGGTAGTACTTGTTGAAATGCCTTTACCATTCTTTTTATTCTTCTTCTTTTTGTTTTTGCCTCCATCTTGAGGCTTGGCAAACAATGCTCCCTCTGTATTTCCTTCTTCTCTCATGACTCTTCATTGTTCTTGTGCCTGCAAAGCATTCAATAACTCTGCGAAGGTGATCTTGGACAGATCCTTCGTGTTTTCCGAAGTAGTTATGGTTGCTTCAAATCTTTCTAGCACACTTACCAAAATCTTTTCAACAATACGTGAATCATTAAACACGGAACCAAGCAATCTAACCCTGTTTGCTATGTTAAGGAGCCTTTCAGAGTAATCTTTGATGGTTTCAGTTTCATTCATCTTCTGCATCTCGAAATCTATTATAAGTTTTAGCACTTGGATACCTCTGATCCTTTCATCCCCTTCGTATTCTGCCTTGAGATAATCCCAGATGGCTTTTGCTGACTTTAGAGACATAACTCAAGTGATGATTGAAGAAGATACTGCTGAAAATAAACAGGTTTTTGCCTTTGATTTTTGGTTTTCCTATCTTTATGGTTTTTGATCTGGGCCATAGTAGGATTGTTAGGCAACAGAGGAACTTCATAATCCTCTTCGACTGCCTCCCACATATCCATGGCATCAAAATATGTTTCTATCCTTACCGCTCAAATCTGATAGTTATCACCATTAAAAATAGGTGGTGTCATTACAGAAAAACTTAATTCTGCTTCCATTGATTGATAAACTTGTCTTGTTGATTACAATCAAAACACCCACAGATCCCTCAAGAAAGATAACTCTGATACCAATTGTTAGTTTTTAGAGAAGGAAAAACATAACAATCTTATCTTCTTTTGTTATTGAACAAGTAGGAACATTAGTTTGATAAACGAACAAAGAAATTTTTATGAAAGCAAAACTACTTACTCCATTATAACACAGATACTATAGGAGTTTACAAGTAAACCAACTCCTAAGGATAAGATTAAAAAACTAAGGATAAAGATAATAAGGATAAGATAGAATTTAACTACTAAACAGTAAATAACTATCAGACAATTTGGACTCATGCAGTTCTTATGCATATTTTTAACAGAAAATAAGTTCTTTAAAAATGAGAAAAATGACTCCCTTAATAGAAGTAGGTAAAATAAGTTTTATAAGTGGCACTCTATATTTACTGATGCAGTTCTTATGCATATTTTTAACAGAAAATAAGTTCTTTAAAAATGAGAAAAATGACTCCCTTAATAGAAGTAGGTAAAATAAGTTTTATAAGTGGCACTCTATATTTATTGTATATCCTCCATACCCACTCAACATCACCTAGACCCATTGACCCTCCCACTCCTGAGGCCCTACTCCCCACACCTCTATCCACCCCTAAAGTGTTTTGCTAGATTACATATATTTTGAGATAACATTTTTTGCTTGCTTACTAAAAACTATAAAATTAGTAAGAAACCAGTTTGCTTTCCAAGAAAACATCTAGGAAACATTTTCCATGGAAAATATAATCCATACCAAAAACACATTCTAAACTTCATGGACTAAAAAGGATTCCTAAGTACAAAAAGGATGGAAGTAACTAAGTGATAGCATCCATGACAGCGAACCTTTATTATGAAGCTTTGGAAGCTAAGGAAATCAAAATAAAGTTGGTGAGGCTCAATGAGATATCAAGAATCTGTGTATCGTGGGAGAAGAGTCCAAGAATTATGGGAAGAAGTGGCCAAGCGCTATACATATTTCGTAGTCCAAGTCCAAGAGAAGGAAGATTGGGTCAATATAGAGCTCAAGAGGAGGGGCATACATGAAGCCTAAGACTGGAGCTAAAAATCCCAAGAAAGGGGCTAAAATTTATGCCCAGGAGCTGAGAATAATGCCCACTCATGCCCCATAAGGGGCTTCTTAGGCTTGTTTTTGTTTGCCAATCTGTGTTATGAAAATCAGAAATTACTGGTTGTAATAAATCATTCAGAAACACGAAGTAACTGAGATTTTTAGAATCAGTAAGTAAGATGAACAGAAATTTATTTGTAAAAAAATAATTGAATCTGTTAAAACTTACCAGAATCAAGAATACTCTTTTTTTAATTTTTTGGAAGAAAATCAAGTCCACTGAATTCACAGTATCCCCTTAAGGAAATTATTTCCCTCTATTATCCGAGGTTTGATTTGGAATATAACCTCCCAGGGTAAAATGATCTTAATCAGTAGAGTGTAGATACCAAAAACTCTACTGTCAGCGAATCAATCCACAGCAGGAAAGTACACGAAGAAATATGTGTTTAGAAGAAGAAGGAAGATCAGAAAATTCGTTGGGAAATATTCTGAAGACTGAATGGTATTTATAGACAAGAAGAATATATTCTCTAAGGTTGCAGTTCTTTCAGAATTGACACGACCATTAATGAAAGGTTGCAAACTTTCAAATGGAATAACGGAAATATTAAAATATATATATAACGGAAGTTAAAACGGGTCACGCGCGCGGATCCGAGTTGGGTCGGGTTAACTAAAAAGTTGAAAACATTTCGATTAACTTTTGTTATCAACTAATTAATTGAAAATAATTTTTTGGCCATTTAATTAATTAATAAAATAATTAAAATAAATTTGTCCAAAAAATAATCTCTCGATCGATCATTTGCCAAAGCCAAAGCGAGCGAGCGACGACGACGGCGCGAGGGGGGTCCCTCTTTCCAACCCTTTTAATGATTAATAGGAGTGTTTATTTATTTAAACTCTCCTATTTTCATTTCCATTACCGATGAGGGACAATTACCTTTTTCATTAAAACAATAGAGGATTTTTCAAGTTCCCAACCTTTCAAGTTCTAAACTTTTCAAATTCCTCTCCTTCCCTCTATTTCCCATCGATTCTTGCTACATACCCAACAGTTTTAACCCTTAGGTATACGATATGATATAACTTCTGTACACGAGATTGGAGGCACAACACACAGTATTTTAATAAGATGTCTTTTGTGCAACGATACAAATCATCTCCTGTTTAAATTCTCTTATTTCATTCTTCGAAGTATGAGATGTTGATCCTTAATATGAGTAATTTGCCAAGAATCACAGTAGACGTATTTACTTCAGATCAAAGTTGTGGGATAAAGACTAGGCAAACCTTGATTGGAGAACGTTTGCATTTATAATTCAAAGTTTCAAACATAATTCATCTACTTGATTCCTATCATTCCGCAATTCTAGGAACTACTCTCTCCTAAACATCCTAGGCAAAAATATTAAGCAAAGAGTTGCTTACTTGTATCCAATATAAGGCCCGGATCCAGCGCTGCAGTAGCATTCACGAATCCGCTTCCCATGTCAAAAGATGTTGCAGGAGACTGGTTCAAATCTGGGTTGGCATATGCACGCTGGGCTAGTATTGGCCCCCCATATTTATTGTGTTGAGAGGCTGTTGTAGAAAGTGCAGATCCAATTGCAGCAGGACTAAAGGTAGGAAATTTTTGCTTGATCAAGGCTGCTAAACCAGCAATATGAGGGGCAGCCATGCTTGTACCAGACATCATTGCAAAGTTTTCACCTAAATAATTGGAAGTACTTGTTTCAGTAAATAATATTTAATGGCATTTATATGGATTTATGAGTACACACCCATACTTCCAGAGATAGTTTTTTTTTTCTTTTTTTCTTTCATGAAGTACTTCCAGAGATAGTTCTTGAGTAACCTATTAGCCTATTTTAGTACTTTACATGGAACCCTTTTTAAGTTCTTGAGACCATCTACCTTGAAATTCAATCGATTCAGCGCCGCGGGAACTCCAAGCAGCCCATATAGAATTTCCTGGAGCAACTAGGTTGGGTTTCAATATGTCTGCATTATCAACAGAATTGTCTTCTGGATCTGGTCCCCTTGCAGAATAATACATAACCTTCGGAGCAGATAAGCTGAAATTTGGTGTTACTCCCCCCAAAATGCAGGCAACAGCCCCAAACTTGACGATTTTTCTTGTAGTTTCATCTTTCTCAAGAGAAGAATTGTAGTACTGAAGTAAAATCTGCCAAATTAATTAAGATCCCCAAATTAAAATCGAAGATGAGAACTGTTGTGCATACATACCAACACCCACAGAATGAGTAAACGTCCATGTTGATCTGCACAGATACTAAAAGCATTTGTACATCCAAACTCACCTTTGAATCATCTGGAGAAGGAATTATAATTCCAGGCAATCTCATTGGAACCGGATTAAGTTGATAGCTGATAACAAAAGGATCCATGGCAAAGACAACTCCAGCTGCACTAAGGTTCATAGCTGTTTCTGAGGCCTGTTTGATGGTGGAAAGTCCAAGCACAAACCGGATGGAGTAGCTACAAATCAAGAGATTCCCTTGAACGAGCGTATGATTGAACTTACTGGCATCTTGGCATTCACTAACATACATATCTTTAGCAGCTGTGTCATTCAAAGAATGAATTGCAGAAACCAGCATGTACATGTCATCTGTTCCTGCTGTAAACAAAACAAATTTTTTTTTGAGAATGGTAACTTTTCTTCTATTTATCTACAGGTATACTACATCAAAGTAGTCCCCCTTCCAAAAGTATTACAAACTAATAGAACTCCGAATTACAGGGAACTCCAGAAAGGTAGTAAAGAAGTTTAATTGGTTAAGAGTGAAAGACGGCACCAACAACTAAAGTGCCACATCACTGCGCTCAAAGAGAAACTGGAAATAAAGTTGCAGCATTTCAGTGATTGTATCTACTGAATACTAACAGACTTTATGCTCAATAACCACCCAAACCAAACCAAAAAATGATTTTACAATACATAAAATCTAATGGCACTATTGCATAAATTTTCCACAAAGTACACGCCTGATTAGGTATGTGTTGTGAATTGAAATATATAAGTGCTTCTGTGGGGAATTGATCCGTGAAGAGTCTAGTGAAAAGGTCAGATATTGGTATATTGAAGGGCTGGGATTAAATGCAAGCTGATGAGAATCTGTGATTAGGATGATGCCACGTGGAGTTGGTTAGGAAGTTTTAGTTAGAGGAGAGATAAGGAACTAACTTTTGGAAATGCAATTTCTTCCCATTTCTGTTTCTGCTTCTCTTCTTCTTCTTCGATCTTCTGTTTCTCTTCTTCTTCGATCTCCTGTTTCTCTTCTTCTCGATCTCACTCTTTCTTCTTTACTGTAATTCAATAATGTCTGCTCAGTAGTTACTTAACTTTGGTTTATTGTAATCGAGAACTTCTAGAATCAATAAAGTTGCGATTCGATTTATAGATTTTCTTTGAATTGTTGAGACTGAAATTTGTGATCTCAGAGAGATCATAACACTTGGTATCAGAGCCTTCAAACCTGTGCAGTTGAAGGAGCAATGGCTGAAGGAACACGATGGAAGATCACTGAAGATAAGCTAGTTAGACATGATGAAATGCTAGCCGATTTGCTGAATTCTTAGGAAGAGTTACGCCATGCTCAAGCTTTAAATTCAAGGAGCATTGGATTTAATTTAGGAAAGGCTGGGGGAGTATTAGAAAGAGCACCGGCAGTTCCGAATGTGGGAGCAGGTTTGCTGCCCATTCCGAATCCGTACAATTGCAACCGAGCTCAGCCGAATGTTGTTGCGTTACCTAGGTGGGAGTTACCTAGCTTTGCTGGTTTGGCACCTAAGGTGTGGATCCGAAAGTGTGAGTGCTACTTTACACAGTATAGGGTGGGTAATGAACAGAGGATGGAATTGGTTGCGTTATACTTGAATGATGTTGCCGAAGTTTGGTATCAGTCAATGGTATTAAGTGGAGGAATTCCGAATTGGATTGAGTTTAAGGAGGAACTGATAAGTCGATTTGGGGAAATTGAAGTAGGTGATATGGTAGAGGAGTTTAATAAAATACAGCAGAGTGATACTGTGGATGAGTTTTTAGGAAGATTTGAAGATCTTAAGGCTCAAATGCTTATCCGTAATCCTGCTTTGAACGACACTCACTTTCTCTCTAGTTTCATCGGAGCCTTAAAGGAGATCAGATTTGAGGTTAAAATGTTCAAGCCAACTACGTTGAAGCAAGTTGTAGAGAAGGCGAGGATGAAGGAAATGGCTATTGAAGCTGCACACAAGAGAAGTAAAGGAGTTAACCGAATGGTGACTCCAATTGTGTAGGGGATGGGTAACAAAGGCTCTTCTGCACGGGTAACAGAACTGGTCTTTACCGGCTTACTCCTGAGATTTACGAGTTTAGGAAGTCCAATCATTTGTGTTTTCGTTGTAGGGAGAAAATATAGTCCAGGGCATCTATGTAAGACGAGACAATTGAATTGTCTAACGGGAATCATTGAGAATGAAGATGACAATGAACCTGTGTTGGTAACTGAGGAAAATGAAGAGATAACTATCGAAGGAACAGTAGAACAAGAAGTACAGCAAGTTGTATGTCTAAATGCACTAACGGGACATAATAAAGGAGAGAACACTATCCTTGTTGGAGGGACTGTGAAGAAGCGAGACTTAGCGATATTAATTGATTCAGGAAGCACTCATAGCTTCATCGATAAGCACATTGTTACTGCATCAGGCTATCAACCTCGTCCTTGCTCGCCAGTACGAGTTACAGTAGCGAATGGCAACTACGTTATGTGTAATTCTCACTGTAAAGATTTTTCGTGAAAAATGCGGGAAAGAATTTTCACGGAAGTTTTGCTCATAATTCCTTTGGGTGGTTGTTTGGTGTTGCCGGGAATTGCAGAGGAGGGAAGTTTAAGCATGTTATCTAGTGAAGCCATGAGGAAAATGTTGAAGAAGGGTCAGGCTATGGTTGCTCATCTTTTTATGATGACTATGGTGACATCAAATGAGGAAGAGGAGGTAGATGGCAGGCTTCAAGAGGTGCTGGTTAAGTATTCGAATATTTTTGCAGAACTGAAATCATTACCACCAACCAGAGCCTTCGACCATGCGATACCTCTCAAACCAGGAGCGAAGCCAATTAATCTTAGACCCTATCGGTACAATTTCCATCAAAAGAACGAGTTGGAAAAGCAGGTAAAGGAGATGTTAAGGAGTGGAATAATACAAGCGAGTCAATCTCCTTATTCCTCACCTGCGTTATTAGTAAAGAAAAATAGATGGGACGTGGAGATTTTGTGTTGACTATCGAGACTTGAACGACTTGACCATCAAAGGCAAATATCCAATTCCTATAGTGGATGATTTGTTGGATGAATTACATGGTGTTGCAATCTTTTCGAAGGTGGATTTGCGGGATGGATATCATCAAATTAGAATGAGAGTGGAGGATGTGCATAAGACAGTTTTTCGGACTCAGATGGGTTATTACGAGTTTCGAGTGATGCCCTTCGAACTCACTAATGCGACAGCAACGTGTCAAGTGTTAACGATCAGGTTTTTCAATCGTTTCTCCGAAAATTTGTTTGTCTTCTTTGATGATATATTGATATATAGCAGAAGCAGAGATGAGCATTTGAGGCATTTACAGATTGTATTTGAGACTTTGAGAGCTAATGTACTTTTCGCTAAAAAGTCAGTGTTCTTTTGGTCAAGCTCACGTGGAGTATTTAGGTCATATTATTACTGATGAAGGGGTGTCGACAGATCCTAACAAGATTAATGCTATGGTGGATTGGGATTAGACCTAAGTCATTACGAGCTTTAAGAGGATTTTTGGGATTAACTAGGTTACTATCGCAAGTATGTGCAGAATTATGGAACTATCAGCAGGCCACTCACAGATTTGTTATAGAAAGAGGCTTTTAAATGGAGTGTGGATGCCGAGACTGCTTTCGAAAACCTTAAAGTACCTATGACGACTACGCCTGTATTGGCTCTTCCTGATTATACACAGGAATTTGTGGTTGAAACTGATGCCAGTCATGGGGGTATTGGAGTTGTACTTATGCAGCAAGGAAGACCGATAGCTTTCTTCAGCAAAGTTTTGGCTACTAAACATCGGGGCAAGTCGATATACGAGAAGGAATATATGGCTTTATTCAATGCAGTAGATAAATGGAGACATTATTTGTAGTTCAAACACTGTGGTTAAGACTGATCACCACAGTTTGAAGTACTTGTTGGAACAACGGGGTCACTTCGGCGATTCAACAAAAGGGGTTATAATGAGGATACATACATTCAAGAGTTGATTACACTGTTATCAGTAGATGCACATTGGCCTAATTTATGGCATAACGTTAATGGTGTGTTAAGGAAGTAAGGAAAGGTTTATGTGGGATCTACAGGACCTTTACGACAACTCATATCTACTTTTCATGATACTCCTTTAGGAGGACATTCGGGTCAATTGGGCACCTTCAAAAGGTTGGCTCATTATTTCTATTGGTCTAAGATGATAGCTATGGTGAATGAATATGTAGCTCATTGTGAGGTTTGCCATCGTAACAAGGACGATAATGCAGCATATCCGGGTCTACTCCAACCATTGCCGATTCCTAATCAAGCTTGGAGTAATATAAGTATGGACTTTATTGAGGGGTTACCAAAGTCGAAAGCTAAGGATGTGATCTTAGTAGTGGTCGATCAGTTTACGAAGTATGCTCATTTTATAGCCTTGGCTCATCTATATACTGCAGTAACCGTGGCTGAATTGTATTGGAGACGGATCCACCGATTACATGGTACTCCTGACTGTATTGTTTCAGATCGAGATAAGGTCTTTTTAAGTCGATTTTGGCAGGAGATGTTCAAACTGTTGGGGACTAAATTGCACTATAGTTCGGCCTATCATCCTCAGAGTGATGATGGTCAAACTGAAAGAGTCAATAGGTGCCTTGAAAATTATCTTCGATGTATGACTGCAAGTCGGCCTACGCAATGAAAACAGTGGTTATCGGCTGCGGAATGGTGGTATAGTACGAATTTTCACACAGGTCTGCAGTGTACTCCATTCAAAGTATTGTATGGTTATACTCCCCCTCAACTTTCCATTGGTCCTTTTTTAGAAACAGTGTGGTACAAGCTGCAGAGGATATCGTGATGCACACACAGCAGTTCCTTTCAATTGTTGAAGGACAATTTAACTACTGCCTAAGCTAGAATGAAGTTTTTTGCTGATAGGAACAGAACTGAGTGTGAGTTTTGGTAGGAGATTGGGTATACTTAAAACTGCAACCATATATCGTCAGTCGTCAGACGTCCGTTGCATTGAGAAAGAATTTGAAGCTTACTTCTAAGTATTATGGTCCTTACTTGATAACAGAAAGGATTGGGTTAGTGGCTTATAAATTAGGCCTTCCATCGACTTCAAAGATTCATGTGGTATTTCATGTTTCGTTGTTGAAGAAGAAAGTAGGCAATCATGTGGTAGTTCAATCTGAATTACCTTATACGAACGACGACGGACAATTTTTGGTTAAGCCGGTGACCATTTTGCAGCGCCAAATGGTAAAAAGGAACAATGCAGCTGTGGTGCGAGTTTTGGTTCAGTGGTCTAATTTTCCACTGGAGGATGCTACGTGGGAAAGATTACGATTTTTATCGCGCTAAGTTACCTGATTTCGATTCTCATCCTTGAGGTCAAGGATGTTTTGATGGGGAAGGGAATGTTATGAATCGAAATATAAAAGTGGTTCTGTGGGGAATCGATCCGTGAAGAGTCTAGTGAAAAGATCATAAATTGGTATATTGAACTGCTGGGATTATATGCAAGTTGATGAGAATCTGTGAGCAGGATGATGCCACGTGAAGTTGGTTAGGAAGTTGTTATAAAATGGTAGTTAGAGGAGAGATAAAGAACTAACTTTTGGAAATGCAATTTCTTCCCATTTTTGTTTCTGCTTCTCTTTTTCTTCTTCGATCTTTTGTTTCTCTTCTTCTTCGATCTCCTGTTTCTCTTCTTCTCAATCTCACTCTTTCTTCTTTACTGTAATTCAATAATGTCTGCTCAGTAGTTACTTAACTTTGGTTTGTTGTAATCGAGAACTTCTAGAATCAATAAAGTTGAGATTCGATTTATAGATTTTCTTTGAATTGTTGAGACTGAAATTTGTGATCTCAGAGAGATCATAACAGTATGCATTATTTATGGGCATACCAGTGAACATCTCAGGCATCTAGCTTAGGTATGCATTTATGGATGTGTCAGGGAAAATCTCAGGCGTCTGTCTAGCTTAGGTATGCATGTATGGATATCTCAGGCATCTAGCTTAGACAAACATTTTTTTTGGAGATATTACAGGATGCTTCTCAGCATCCGTAATCTGAAAAAAATAAAAACAATAGAAAGAATAACAGCATGGAACTTATGTTGTTGAAATTATCAAGCAGACCATCTCCAAGAGTAAATTTCTATCGGCTTCACTTTCAATAACAACTTTCAAGGGCATCGGCTTCCTCAACTTTAAAGGCAACCCTGTAATATCATTTCGCATTCTCCGCTGATTTTGATAATTTTTTGGTACTACCAAAACATGACAAGGGATTAAACGTCATTTGTTTGGAAAAAATAGCTTATTAGCTCTCCTTTTCTTTTTAGGTAGTCCTAAAATGGCATCTGTTTCCCTCAAATGAAAGATTGTTCACCTTTTAATTTCTCTCTGCCTATAGATCTAAAATAAATAAACATGTTCCCTCTCTAACAATTTAAACTTTTAGATGAGACGGTTCACACCATTTAATGTGATATTGGAGCATTTTTGGGTCTATAATCAATATGTATCATCTTTAACAATTAAAATTGTCTTTGAGGTGGTACACTTAATATAACATGGCATTGGATCTTTGTTGAAAAAATAATTCTAGTTCCTGGCGGGGCAATCACTATTCACTATAGCAACGTCTGGGAGAAGATTCATATCAAATTATGTAAACTACCTTATCTAGCTTGAATTATTAGAAATTGCACTTTTCTGTAATTTTCATTTGATCACACTGATGTGTGGGTCTAATTATTTTTTGTTGGGCCAAGTACATGAAAATATTTTGTTGATAGGTGGCGACAAGGCTTGAATACAAAAGTTTTGCATGCTTTGATACAATGTGAGAGAAAGATTAGAAGAAAGCACGAAGAACTTACTGTCATGACCCGCCACTTTGCCATACAAGTTAGACATAAAATTGAAGGGGAAGGAATCTAGAATGTTGGAGAGTTTGGAGAAGGCTCTAGAATACCATAGAAGATTTCTTGGAAGGCTTGAGAATTCTCTAGCCTTGTAGAGAATTTTAGAAGAGGGACCAATTTGTAAATATGTACGGACTTGTATAGCAATTTCTACTTGCACTTTAACCCTAGGTTTGTAGTATTAATAGAGGGGCATTCATTTGTAACTCAACCAAGCTAGTGTAAGCAATCTTCCAAAGCAATACAAAAGCCTACTTTAAAAACTCTCGTCTTTCTTCATTCTCTTAGCGATCTAAGTTTGAGAAGGACATACTTGAGCTTACAAGATCGTGAAACAGTCGTGAGTAAGCTTACTTGAGCTTACAAGATCGTGAAATAGTCGCGAGTAAGCCGTCAAGTGTCACACGGAGCGTTAATTGAAGTCTAAGTCCGTGACATTACGCCTTAATGCTAGTGATACACTTTACCGTGGATATAGTAATTTATCTAATATGGCACATGACCTGAACATATTTTAGTAATGGATCATGTTTAATCCAAAAAGATATCAAGCTTAGTTAGAATCACCTTAATATTCACTTGATAAAAGCCCCAAAGGGTTGACGTTGAGGGACTAGTGACTTACGTCAAAAGTGTGACTCTATGCCAAGTGAACTAACTCAAACTTACTTAGAAACACCTTAATATGCACTTGAGAAAGCCCCAAGGGGTTGAGGGACTAGGGACTTAGGTCAAAAGTTCAAGCTCTAGTGCACTAAGATATAGGGACAGGTACATCATCTTTGAGTTTCAATAGTTGCAATTTGCCCAAAGGGCTGATTTTTAAGTCACAAAAATATATGTATTCACTTGAAAAATTTGGTGACCTCATCCCTCAAATGCATTCTTTCCCTTATAAGATATCAAAACATATAGAACAACACCAAAAGTGAAAGGACTAGTTTGAATACTCGCAAGGGTCGACATCTACCTTCCTTGTAACACCTCTATCACCTAACTTCTCTGGATCGGTACCAACTTACTTATAACTGATCCTACCATATCCAAGAGTTGTGACACTCCATAGGATGATCTATTACTCATTCTTTTCTAACTCACAAGGAATGGCAATTTCTCTCAACAACTGACCTAGAAGTTTTATAAATTATCATTAGAAGTTCCAACAGAAAATTACTTACCTTAGTGCAGAGCGGAATAGTTAAGCAGTGAAATCTGATCATTGCCCACTTCTCTTCAAAGAATTACATAATTACAGTTCTACTCGTTAACTTCTTCTAACAGACAATTTAAGGCTAAGTGAGAGGGAAGGATTAAAATAATAGATATTTGTGGGAAGAATCACGCTCCATTAATATTCTCAAAAATAGAATTAAATGCAGCAATCACCAAGGAAGACTTACGTGCTAGTCCAACTCCAGATATGGTGATGTTGTTGCCCAGCAATATAGAGTTGCTGTATGCCCTGTCATGGGTTGAAGCACCAACACTGAAGATCCATGGGCTGAAGGAAGCAACACTCTTAGGTGATGGTCCAGTATTGCCAGCTGCTTGTACCACAAAAATGCCAGCTTTTACTGCTGATAACAAGGCCATGTCTATCGGATTAAAGAAAGTCGCCAAACCAGGAGGACGCCTGTTTGGCGTGATTGATAAATTGATTATATCCACGCCATCCTGGGCTGCCTATAATTGTAAACAGACAGGTATCAACACCCAGGAATCAATATTTATTCTTTTTTCTCTTTTGCCTCTGTCAATTAGCAGTAAATGATTCTTAAGCATGAAGGACAAATGAATATGCCCTTCATCTATACAAATTTGGCCTGCTTCGCATTCTATTCTGCACCAAAAAATTAGACCTATTTTGGTATTTAAACTTTCTCTTTTATGTCAAAAAAGATGAACCTTTTTCTTTTACAACTAGCAGATGAAACATTTTTCACCTTCTGACAAAATCAAATCTAAACTAGTATACTGCTATTTTGTGCTACAGAAACTTGATGTGAGATTTCCCTACATCTGCAGTATATCTTTCTCCATTTTCTCTCTTTTTCCAAAAGTCAAAACCAGGACATGCATCCCTTCTCTCTCTTTATTCTTTTCCTTTAAAAGTTCACTCTCTAGCCAAAAATTGAAAACTTACCTGGTCTATGGCAGCAACGACATCAGCAGCAAATCCACCAAAACTCTTGTATAATGCCTTGTAAACTGCAATGCTAGAAATATCGGCATGCAATCAGTATCTTCTCTAATACTACTTTTAGCGAGAAAGATACATGGTAAGGAAATTAATACTTATCTCAATCTCTATATTTTGATAAAAGGAAACACTGGAGGCTTGAGTTATAACCACTTGGGGAAGTTGAGAAGGTCGATCATTAAAGTAGATTTCTAGTAATTTACCCAAGTGCTCAGAACTCAAGCACTTCTCAGTGCTCCAGGATCCCCCTCCCCTCAACAGTGGATTCAGACTTTCATCACTTCACTTATCAGATAACAGGTGTGCTAATTGTAATGTTTGGTTAACTCCTGAAGAGTGATCACAATCATTTTGTTACAAAAGAACCTTTTTGTAAAGTTAAGTCGTCAAAATCTTTTGCATTGAGAAAGCGCTTGGTAGAAGTCATTGCAAGATTCACAAGACAAAGGACTTTTATAGAAAAGATGAACAAGAACTAGCACATAAGTTGATTGCAATACACAAAACGACTAGTGATGAAATGATGATAGTTACATCGCTGAAATCTCTTCCTCATGTAGAGTATCACCTTGCAGGTTGATATCAGTAAACCAAATGTGAACAGTAAAATTCAATTTCTTACTGTGTATGAGGAGCCATTCCACTAGCATTTCCAAAGTAATGTCCAGCTACAATAACGGGGACTCCATGGTTTCCTGCCGCAATAGAAGCTGTATGCCTGTTTAATAAGAAATTCAAACCACATGGTTTTAGATGCTATTTTCAGTATCTTAAGTTTGCAGTAAAGATAACAAATTGATGATATCAAGAGGTTCAAATAAAACAAGGTTCATACTATTGTTTTTATTGTTTTTCTCTTTTCTGTGTGGTTTTGGAACCCTTACTTGAGAAGAATGAGAATAGAGTTTCATGTATGGGATTTTAGTGTGAAGAGAAAAAAAAATATTGTTGTTAGCTAAGTGCTGAGTAATGAGCGGCCAAAGGAAAATTAGTCGCTCTTATCCAATATTACCATATTCATCCTCTAGTCTACATTACTATCAAATGAAAAAATTCTACCTGATCTTTACTTGAGAACTCCTACATTAGTGGATAGTGACAAAATAAGAAAGCTTTTGGTACTCTTCTATGTGGTGCAAGAATTTATTTAATCATTGTGAGTGCCACTGTTCTTGAACATGCCCATTTGTTTCTCCCTTGTTGGCTTGGTATCTTTTTGTTAGTTTGGGGTAGTCCGTTTGGAGAGGCATTTGGGGATTCAAGCTTGATGGCTTGGTATCTTTTTGTTAATCTGGGGTGGTCAGTTTGGTGAGTCATAATGGGATTCAAGGGACACAAGAATTTCATTTTGTCAATACACGAGTATGAGCAAAAAAAAGGTGTTCAATTTATTTGGTTGATCCAAGTCAATTTTACTGAAAGAGAAAGCTCTTAACTTATTTTATGTCCTTCTGTTACTGTTGTATGGCAGTCTTTTTTGCTTGAGGACAATGATTCAAGTGTATTTATGTCTTTTCTCATGTTTGAAGAGTTGTAAGTAGTATATGATGTAATCCCTCACATATTTGCATTGTTCTGATGAAAGATATGCAATAAAGGAGATAAGCAGGAAATACACAAAGGTCTCCTGTTTTGCATGAACAGCCCTTCATAAGGCATGTTTAACACAAGACAACCTTAGGAAAGGGCATCATTCTCATCAACAGATGTTTTTCGTGTAAAAAAAACAACGGAAGTGTCAACCATCTTTTTTTCCACTGCCCCATTACAATTGGCATATGGCATTTCTTCTTCTCGTTGTTAGGCCTCCAATGGGTTATGCCCCTCTCCATCAAAGATACTTATGCTAGCTGGATATGTTGGACAGTTGACAACACTATCAAAAGACATGGAGGATGACCCCAAAAGTAATTTTTTTGAAGCATTTCAAAAGACTGTGACTGCAGCTGCTTTGATGGAATACCAACTCCCTATTGGCACCTTCTCTCCCATGTTAGTATGGATAATCTTTGGTATTATGTTAGCTCCCTAACTCTAGCACAGTAAGGCTTAAAGGGATCTTTTTGGCTGCTTTACAGGTTTTTCCATAGTTATCTTCATGTTATTTTCATGTTTGAAGCAACTTTATTTAGTTGTAACCAGTGCATCTCCTTCATGATTTTCTAATACAATTTAATTACTTCACCGGAAAAAAAAGGAAGGAGGAAATACTTAAGACTCAAGCAAAAGAGATGCACAAAATAGCCCGACTGTCACAGTGGTGGAGTTTTTGTCACTGTCACTGCACGACCCTGAGTTCAAATTTCAACTTTTTAGTCACTAGGGTTGAGATGGAAATAAATAGGGACCTTGAAGAGTACCAAAAAAAGGGCCTTGACACCAAAAGACAGACGCAGTTGTTGGGAGAGAAAAAAAAAGAGAACTTAAGATTATCAAGGAGGATTCAAGAGATTTAGAGTTTCTTCTAAACCACCTTCTTCTCCTAATCTTTTGTTATGAGCATGATGACTCTTAATATTTCAATGATAGTTTTTACTCCATTATGAAGTGACATTCTCATGGTTGAGTTTTGATGAAACCTGTGGTTTATTAATGATTAATTTACCTTTAATTTCATTTGTTCAATTGATTCCTTGAGGAGTTTATTGATATAATAATCACAAGAGATATATCAATTTCTCCATTGCCTTGATTGGGTTTGAAATAGTCTTGTTGAATATCGATTCTATTCGCAAGAAGGGATTAGTATTTTAACCTTACAATTGCAGCATAGATATTTGAAAGAAGACTATATATTTCTATCTATGCAGAGCCTTTCAACACAACTTTCACCATCTTTAGAAAAGATAAAAGGGATTGAATGTATTCGCGAAAAACATGAATACAACAAGGGTTGATGAAAGGTATTATAATTGCTAGTTATTCCATAGGTGGATTCTTGACTCAACTCAATCGAGTTGTGGTTATTTCTCCCATCATTATTAATTTCACAAATCGGATTTCTCAAAAAGTAATCAAGCAATACAGCATATTAGAAACACAATCCTCATGGGATTGACATTATCGATACTATCTTTGACAAGCATGAGCTTTAGGTTTTATACACAGATTTTGCACTCTTCAGATTTTGGGGCCGTTTCCAGGGATTGGGCAACATCTATTTGCTAATTGTTGTTGTTGCAACTTTAGGAGTTGTAAATTATTATTTTTTTTCATGTTTTTGAGATTTCATCCTTAGTACCTGACAAATGGTAGAGATGGAGACTTGAAGAAAATACCCCTGAATTTGAACTCACCCAAGTGCTTTAAAGATTTACAGGAAAATCCAGAAAAAGAACTAAGAGCTGATAGCAGAGCATTTTCAAAGGATCCAATCACCGCATTCATGAAAACCAAGAAGGTAACTTATGTTTCTATAGTTCATAATCTGAACAATCTTACTATGCTTCTCGTACATACAAGTAGGATGACTCATATGGTTACCATTATGATTCAGAATGGGAATGGATACTCGAATTATGGTTGGAATCTAAGTGAAATGAGGCAACCACCTCAAGAGGAAAACGAAACTTCAGAGATTTAATACTTGGATTAACAAGAAAAACAGAACAAAACTATAAAAGTATAGATGAATCACTGGGTAACATGAATACTCACTTGGAGACGATGATAACCGTTTTGTCAAGTGAAAAATACGATTTTGCTATAGCATCTTCCCTATTGTGCAACTGCACCACATCTATAGAGTTCCATGGAGATGCTCAACTCTTGATAAATCCATGAATGATCCATTACGACCAACAAAATCAGAATCTTACATATTTTAAATGAGGCATCCGAGAGGTCTTGATCAAAAAGTGTTAGTCTGGGGTAAGCCTATGAAGTTTCCTTCTTTTTAAACTGATAAAGTAGGGCAGAGATGAATTTAAATGGAGAAGAGACAACCCGCAACTTGTTTGGAACTCCTTCACTATTTTCAAGTCTTACTCTTACAAAGAATGTTCAATGACCAAAATTCATATATAAAGGAGGTGGATCGCCAAATATTTAACTTCAGAAGAAATAAAAGAAATATATTCATTGTGACCAAGAGTGCTCACATTCAGTGTGCACATTGTGAATACCAAATAAGCATACAAAAGAGATGCAGTGCAAATGTACATGTGATAGAGAACACTTACGTTCCATGACCATCACCATCAAAAGGAGAAGCGAAGTCCTTAGTTGCATTAAATATCCCCCTGGTTATAGCAGATGCTGCAAAATGACGGGCACCAACAAGTTTCCTGTTGCAAGATCCGGATGGAAAATCCAGAGTGACCTCACAAATGCCAGAGAAGTGCTCAGGAACAGGATATGTTTGCTCAGGTGACTTATCATTGAAGCTGGGGTGTGTAGGATCAATTCCAGTGTCAATAAAACCAATTACAATGCCTACCCCAGCAGTTTCATATCCACCTTCTTGAGCCCATGCCCCACGAGGTAGACCTAGAAATTGTGGTGTATGTGTGGTTGCAGTCTTAACTGAGAAATCCAAAACAATATTTGACACCTCTCTCCTCCTTGCAAGCTTGAATGCCTTCAAATTGATCAAATACATGTTCACATAAGATATGACCATGATCAAAAGTCACGAAAGACTATGTAATGACTTAACTATGTATGGCATGTTAAGGAAAATTCTAATTTCTACATACCTGCTGGGGTGTTACAAGCACAGCAAATCCATTGATCAAATAGTGGTAGCTGTATACTTTTAGATACTTTTCTCCTCTTAATACCCTCCTCAATAAGGAATCGTGCATTTGAGAAACATAGGAACCATTCATGTGATCTATATGTGAAAAGTTGCTGATTCAGAAAACAGTTATCAGTAATATGACAGAAGTTAACTTCTCACTTTCAAACAGATACACTTAAAACAAGACAGGGAGTAACAAAAACTCTAATTATCTAATGCAAGAATCTGTTATGACAATGTAATACGAATAGCCCAGAGTGTGCAAAATATAAAACTTTCTTATTGAAGTGAAGTGACTTCTGGATAGTGGTATACACAGCTCTAAGAATCTAGCCACTAAAAGAGTAAAGTCCTCATGTAATTATTTAAGCTTCATTCCATGAGAGTCCTTACATAATAAGGCATTGCTTCTCATTCTCAATCAGTCAAAACACTAAAATACATAAACACAATCAGAAAAATTTCCCTCCTTCTAATATACTACAATCTACAAGTCCAAACACTTAAAAAATTAGAAATGCTAGAAGACAAGTGGAACTTCAAAATCATTAAAAGACTTCAACTTTACACATGCCCAAGTTACAACTAAAATAATACTATAGCAGAAATTAAACAAACAAAAGTGGGCTAACCACAAAAAGAAAAACCATTTACCTAGAGCAACATTAAACTATAGAGGAGGATTATGAATGTATGAATTCTTAACATGACAATATATATCCAGTTAAAAAATAATACCTTGGTTTGTCAAATCTATTAACTCTCTGTGACCCACCATTTCTGGAGTGGTATTGATTCTTCAAGTTGAGTTCTTCATTAAAATGTGCTTTTTTCAGGGTCACAATATACACTGCAGTAGCTGAATCAGCAGCATTCTCTATAGAGCAGCCACAACCCACAAAAATCCCCAAAAAAATTGCCCCCACCAAGAATCTGAAGCTGACAGACCCCTCCATTTTCAGCAGGTGAAAAGTCCACCCATTTGCTTCTTCAAGTACCCCCAATAAGAAATAAACAAGAATTGTGTAAATCTAAGATAAGGGTACAAAGCAAATGAGAGTTTGTTGGCTTCTTTATGCTGAAGAGAGAGAAGTGCATTTAATTATAGCTGAAGAAGCAACTTTCTTGGGTTCTGTGCATATGAAAAAAATCAAATTTTGTTTGTTTTTTCGTTTATATGCTGTTGGATTTATTCACATGTCTTTATTTGTTATAACGGTTATATTTATCAATCAATTATTTCCTGTCTCCTTTCTTATGCTCAACACTATCTTATGAAAGAAGCTTTTGGGGATTTCTTAAAATTAAATGAATAAATTAATTTTAACCACTCGTTTCGATACGTAATTTAAATTACTTAAGTTATGTTTTTTTATATAAATGTAAAACTCTATAAATAATAAAAATTATCATCAAATTAATAAAATTATATGCGTCTTATGTAGAAAAAAATTAATATCACAAAATTTATAAATTACTTACAAGATTGCGTACTAATAGACATTAATGATGTAAAGTAAATGAAAATTATAACATCTTTTCATTTATTCTTCAATCAATAATTTTTAATTTGATTTTATAATTTATCCTTTAACCTACGTCAATGTTTTATAATTTTTGTCTTCTTTTCCTGATTTACTTCTCACATCAAGGTGCAATAAATTTTTTAATGTCTTTATGTCCTTACAATGGCATACCAAATTTGAATTTTGTTTTCAAGAGATGGTAGTATAGATCTTTAAGAATTTTTTTATTATACCTTCAATAATTTCAGTAGAGAAAATTTGTGTGAGTACTCAATTAAAGTGTGTTATTTATCTGTACTGACAAATACTTATAACAATTACTTTGTAAAAACATGAACAACAAAATTTAAAATATGTACTCAAAAATAATAATTAATAACATAAGTATAGATTAATGACCGTAAAAAAACATATATGAATATGTGACAATAGAATAAAACAGAAAGGAAATAATCGAGTTCACTACGTGCACAGTGTTCCCTTAAGGAAACTATTCCTCTCTAGTACCCAAGTTTTAAAGGAATAGACTCTCTCAGGTTAGAACGATTCTATTCACCAGTGTATAAATACAAATAATGGTGTTAGTGAGCTACTCAATATGAGAAAAGTATAAGAATATTAAATTGTGCAGAAGAAGAAGAAGAAGTTCAGAATTTTTAGTTTTTTAAAATGAGAGGAAATTTCTCTATTTATAAACAGCAGAGGGTAGTGTGGAAAAATATTTATTGTTCCTTATCGAAAAGACTACAACTCTTTGAAAAGTTGCAACCCTTCAAAAAGGTCACGACCTTTCATAAAATTCATAATTTTTCATAGAAATTGTAACTTTGCATAAAAGTCACAAGTCTTCATAAAAGTCACAATTTTTCATGAAAGGAAAAGACTAATTTTGAAAATAAATAAATTAAAAGGAAATCTTGATTTGTGATGGCACCACGTAGGCTGACCTAGGGTTCTTTTATATATATACACATGATATATTGATTTTTTCTTGGGAAAATACCCAAGTACCCCCTCACCCTATGCCCGAAATCTCAGAGACACACTTATACTATACTAAGGTCCTATTACCCCCTTGAACTTATTTTATAAGTAATTTTCTATCCCTTTTTAGCCTACGTGGCACTAGTTTGAAAAAAAAGTCAATCATCGTTGGACCCACAAAATAGTGCCACGTAAGCTAAAAAGTAGTAAAAAATTATTAATAAAATAAGTTCAGGGGGGTAATAGGACCTTAGTATAGTATAAGTGTGTCTTTGAGATTTCGGGCATAGGTTGAGGGGGTACTTGGACATTATCCCATTTTTTCTTAATACAATCTTACCAAATAGGAAAATTATAGATCCTATGGAATTTCACCTAGAAACTTTTGAACATAAAGAATAATTTTTGGATCTTGAATCTTCATCTTCCTTTCCAACTTTTGAGGGAAAGGTTGAGAAATTTTTAATGTAGACCGAAATAGGTGGAATCTCATCATTCTTTCCACTTTCACCCCTTCAACATTCAAAAGCACCTCTCTATCAATATGATATTAACCAATGTCGATCCATAAATTTTCACTCCATCAAAATCAAAATCCTCAAGTCATCTTTTTTTTTTGTACTTCTCTCCTAACCATTTTACCACTCCTTGTATCAATAGTCATGCAATGAAACATTTTTATTTTTCATATTCATCATGTTATCACTCAGAAGAACACTTTTTGTCTTAAATTTAAATAGGCAAAAATATGTTTCATTTTAGACTAAAGTTGTTTAATGAAAATAGAATGGGAAATGGTCATTTGGTTAAAGTGTAACGACCTATTTAGTCGTTTTGAGCAGCAGATTTTATTTCTGGAAAAACAGGCTGAGACGACGGAACCCCACGACGGACCGTCATGGGCATGACGAACCGTCGCAGGGTATCGTTTCAAAACACTCAGAAAATCTGAAATTGGGTACTGAAAATCGACTCTCTGAACTTCGTAACGAAATGGCAGGACGGACCGTCACATGTGTGACGGACCGTCACAGACTCTTTGGTGGAAATTGAGTCTCTGAACCTTGCGACGACCTGCAGGACGGACCGTCGCAGGCACGACGGGCCGTCTCAGGTTGCGTAATCCCAGTCTGGGTCGAATTTCTTTATACGTTTTAAGGGACGTTTTTGACTATTCCTGCTTTAATTATAAAGTTAGTGGGTTAATGTTAATAAGTCTAATTACTTGGGGGTTAAAAGAGGTAACCTTAAGTTAATTAGTGGGTTATTATTGCCATCTTTTATTCTTAATTATATGCTATTTAGGGTAAAAGAAAGAGGGTTTGAATAAAGAAAATAGAAAGAACAAGAAGAGAGAGAGAGGGTCGATCAAGAAGGGGAAAACACAAAGCTTTGGAGAAAATTTTCTTGCTTGATCACTAATCTTCGGTGGAGGTAGGTTATGGTTTTTATGTTATTCGTAGTAAACTCTTAATAGCGAATGATATGTATTGGTAATATTGTAAACCCTTCTATATGCTTAATTGTATGCTTGCATGAATGTGATTATGTAATTGTGATATAATAAGCATGATGAAGCTATTGAATCCTAAATCTTGAAAAGAAACCCTAATCTACTTTGTTAATGATGATGCCTTGGTATAAAGGCTTGATGAACGAAGGTAGTGAGATTAGGGGATTGGGTGCCACGTTCCTGTACCAGGATAGTATGTGAGGATCGGAGTGTCACGTTCCGACACCAGGATAGTATATGGATCGGGTGCCACGTTCTGGTACCAGGATAGAATATGGATCGGGTGTCACGTTCCGACACCAGGATAGAATGAGGATCGGAGTGTCACGTTCTGACACCAGGATAGAATATGAGGAGCGGAGTGTCACGTACCGACACGGGAGGAATAAAGATAATGAAATCTTGAAAGATGTTAATATACTCAACCTAATGAATCTAATTCCCAAATGAGTATGATGAGGAGACGTGAGTCCTCATTGATGTGCTTGATGTTATGACCAAGGGTTATGAAATTTGTAAATGCTGCATGCTAAGGATATTAGTTGATTTTATGATGTTATCTGATATATACTGTTTTCTATTTTGAGTTGGCCGATGATATCTACTCAGTACCCGTGTTTTGTATTGACCCCTACTTTTATGTTTTCTTCTTGTTATTTGTGGAGTGCAGCAAACGTGCCGTCGTCTTCAACTCAACCACAATTCTAGCCAGTCTTCGTCACATCGGATCTTCAGGGTGAGCTAAAGCTTCTAGCTTGGACTGGACTTTCTTCCTCCTATCTTGATGCCTTGAACTTCCGGCATGGACTAGCTTTTACTTATTTTAGCTTCTTCGAATACTCTTAGTATAGTAATTTGATCATAGATGTTCTTGTGGTAATGACTTCTAGATTTTGGGGAATAATAGATGTTGGATTTTAGAAGTTATTGAATTGGTTTTTATTAATGAGTTAAGTCTTCCGCATTACTTTCTGTTGATATTATATTGAAATGTTAAGGTTTAGATTGGTTGGTTCGCTCACATAGGAGGGTAAGTGTGGGTGCCAGTCGTGACCCGATTTGGGTCGTGACATAAAGAAGAGGACTCACTCTTCATTTCTTTAAGATTTTTGTTTGAACCTTCAACCTTATCAATATTTAAGAAAATATATCTTTTGTTCGATAACTCTTTGGGTCAGCATTGGAATCTTTAGTCTTAGATCAATCACGGAGAGGCACAAAATGATTCAGCTGATTCTCTCTATCGATCTAACCATTGTTGCGATCACACCCTTCTTTATCAGGGTCTCTCCAAGTTCCATCTCTTTCTTTGTTTCTCCATTAACTATTTCTATCCTTATTTCAACACTGATTCTCGTCTTGCCTTTGGAGAACTCCATGTATGATTTTCGAAAAACTTCACCTCTTCATTATACTTATTGTCAAAATCATCATTTTCATAGACTCAACTCCCCTTTGTAATTATATCATTAGCACTTTTAGAGGTCGCACCCATGACGTAATAGTCAGGAGTTTCATTTGAGACATTATTTTTGTCATTTTTATATCTCGTTCTTCATCTTTGAACTTTTTTCCTTGGTACTTGGGAGAAGTAGGTAATACCCTTTTTCATCTCAGCCTTCTGAATATGCCAAACTCGATTTGTTTTGGTCATTTTATAAAGCAAAGCTGTGAAAATCATCAAATTTTGCCTTATGAGAGAATCACTATTATCTATAACTACTTTATTCAATTAGTCAAGAGAACAGTTAACACCAATTCTTTTTTTAATCAAAGCTATGATTTACGAAAAGATTCAGCACACTTTTTGTAGAAGTTAGTGATCTAGTCTTGAAGTTGAAGCATCTGAGAGGGTGGAAGAAACTATCTAAGAAAGCTTTTGTGAACTCGATCCAAGAAGTGATAGATCCTTTTGTTATTTCTCACAACAAAATAGTAGCTTCTCCAAATAAGGGGAAATAAAGGAAACGACCTCATTCAAATAGACTTTTGAGGTATGTCGGCAATACTGAATGGACTACACACATCAATAAAGTTTTTAAGGTGATTGTGTGCATCCTTGTGAGTTTGCCCACGGACAAGGCCCTTCTTTTAAAGAAAGTGCAACATGA